TATATAAATTTATATATTTTATATATTATATATACATATATATATATATATATATATACATTGACTACTAATATTATCTATCTATCTATCTAACTCTCTCTCTCTCTCTCTCTCTCTCTCTCTATATATATATATATATATATATATATATATATATATATATATATATATATAAACGGAACCGTCATATACCCTGATTTTACTTTTTTTAAACTACAAACTTACCATGATTTAAAACTAAAATCGACCTTGACAACCAGACGCTCCGTCGTAACTAAACTGGAGAAAGCACGTCAAGCTAAATGACGCTTCCGTATAGGATACAGGTTCGATTCCTGTTGGAGGACGCATATTTTCTATGACATTTTTCGGACGTTCAGGCCAGTAAATGTTGTTAATACTGTTTATTATAAACAGAGCAATTACTTAAATATTTGTGTTTGTATAAATATATAACAATAAAATATATGAAAATAATTGTCGGACTTTGTCCATTTCGTAGTATGTGACGTCATTTGCTTACGTTAAGATACGCTTTGAGCAGATATGGTTGTTCGAAGGAAATCATGGGCAGTTCGTAGTCTTATATATATATATATTTTTTTTTTTTTACAGAAATTTTATACCACATAATTTATATATGATTTTAAAAATGACGGTGTGCATTCTTTTAAGGAACGTTTTTCGCCCAACAATTCCTCAGAAAGATTCGTTGAAAAAAAAAATAAAAAAAAAAAATAAACAAACAATAAATAATTATAAGTAGTAAAACTGAAAAGTTGTATGGCGTGGATAAATATGGAGACATGACTAAAATAAATTTATTATTAAAACGTAAAAACGAAAAAAAAAATAAAACGGCATAAATAATCCCCAAGTTAGTATAAAGCAGAAAGAATTGTACTCACAGCACTCGAATCATATACAGGGTGACTGAAAAGTAACTACCAGTTTATGTATGAGTGGCCAGCCAAGTGTTCTAACTTAACATCCTGAGACATTTTCTTTGGGGTTGGTTAAAGAAGAAAGTCTATTAAACCAAACCAAGACTTTGGAAGAACTTGAAGGGTGACCACAAGAAGTTATGTCTTCCATACCACAAGAATTCTTAGTGAAATCAATTGATGCTATTCTTGGGTGGCTCGAGAATCTGGTAGCGAAATCCGGTGCCCATATCGAATTTTAAATAAAACCTCCTGCGAAAAGCTTTCCACTTATATCCAGTTTTTGTAAAATTTCGTTAATAAATAAATTATAAGTATTTTAAAATGAGGAGTTATTTTTCATGCATTTTAATGTAATCCAAGTTTATCCTAGTCATATAAAATATTAAAATTAATTCACAAAAAGAGTTCAATCTATTTATTAAGGTAATAAAAAAATGTATTCACAACAAGAAAATATTTGTAGTTTGTCTTGAAAATGTAGACAGAGAAAAAAAATGATCCCTATTAAGAAAGTTGTGTAAGGACATAAAACTAACTCCTTTAAGGAAACGTTACAAGGAGACATATTTAATAGGTTTACTGAAGAAGTACTCGAAAACTGATTTCTCATCAGTAATTTTACTGATAAATGTAGAGTTTATAGTGAACAAAACGATCTAGATTTAAGATTCAAATGCTAAACACTGACTCATTGATTTTGTTAGAAATTAAAAAGACTCGAATTTACAAACTTTGCTTAACACACACGCAAAAGCGAATTCAAAACAAAACTCGTGAAATTTCACACCTTTTTTTTTCGGCCAATAGAAAACTAGGAAGCATTTTAAAAACAAAATTCAAATAATCTTCAATTCTCAGAAACAAAATTCTTTTACGGACCTTTTCGCGAGCCGATGCGAAGTTTGTTCGTCGTCCCATGAAAAGGCCCGAATCATATCCGGGAGTGAATTCCCAAATGACCATTTCAAGCCCCACAAACAAAATAAAAGACGGACATGTTCGCCTGTCACCAGAGAGAAGGAGACACGAGCGTATTAACACGTCCCTTGACAAACGTCAAGCGATCGTTATTATTATCTCTACCTTTCTCCCTCACATCTTTGATACTTCATAAACGAACGGAACATTTTAAGACTGAGCGATTACTTCAAAGGCATCCCTACCCTACGATAACGCTCATACATACATACATCTACACATACGTTCCTGCCTACGTACACATAAACTTATTCTTGCAAGGACTACTACGAACATTTTGACGACCTTGTATCAACCAAAATACATTAATTATATTTGTAGAGACCTTAATTGGTTTATATGTATATAAATTTGTTGTTTCACTTTACAATTTGATTTTCTTGTTTTATACTCTTCTTATGGTGGGCTGTCAAACTAACAAGGCCAAATCAAACTAATCTGTTTCAACACTCATACATTTCACTATAACTGATGACCCACTATATATTAACATAGTATTAATAAAGCCATAGTATTAACACCCTTCTGTATAATCTGTAGAGCGAAGATTGCGTGCTTTTCTATAGATGGAGATAATCGCCTACGAATTTATATTGTTGCAAATGTAACAAAATAATAACCACAAGAGAACAATAATATTCAAGTCAAGAGTGTTTGCATAACAATAAAAAGAAAATTTTATATAACAAAATGTACAAACATTTGTTGAAAATGTTTAAAACATTCAAATGTCTTTGTATGTTTGGATTTGAGTTTTAATGTTCTGATTAGATAGATCTTTGTGGAATAACGTATGTGAACATGAGATAGTATAATACAGTATAATTTGGTCTATGTTGAAATTAAACAGCTTGAGGTTTACGAAAATTGTGTGTGAATGGAGTGGACTTACTTCATGTTTTAACAGGATTGTCTTTCTTTGATATTTGTTGACTTTTAGTTAGCTTGTGTTGAAAGAGCGATGCAGACTGTTTTTAGTGTTAAAAGAATTTTAACGTATTGTCTGAAATGAAGAATAGTGACACGTGCGGTATAGCTCCGGGTTGGATTTTTCCACCTCACCGTTTGTTTCTGAATTTTATGTCGTTAATATACACAATATGCGTCACGTGGTAGGCTCCAGAATTTTGGGCGCAAATGTATTTTTGTTCGGGTCAAAATTAAGGTCGGTACATTCGGACGTAGTTGACGGCACAAAATTGATATTTTCCAGCCAATCAGAATGCGTTGTTGTATTATTAAATTTAGAGCCTATGATGTGGGGGTTTTACGAATGCTAGAGGATCTTAATCCTATAAATCTCATTTCTGAAGCGCCAAATCTCCTCTTCATCTGTGATGAAAATGTCCAGTATTCACTACCATATAGGAGGATATTATATAGCAGTTCATCAATCTTTTTTTTTGTTTTTTCCCGTTTCTTAATACTTTGTTTAGATTTTGGAAGGCATCTTAGGTATTCGAATGCGCGTTCGGATTTCGGTGTCACATATTCCACTGTCTGTTAAAACAATTTCCTATTTCTGTACTTGTTTCATTTTGACGTCCCCATTCGCAGCTAGTGCCTTGGGCTGTTCATATTTCTAACGATCATACAATTTATCTCCTTTCAATTGATGCTTAGTCCTTTCTCCCTGCTTCCTTTTACTATCTTGTCTAGGAGTTTCTGCAGTTTTGTCTGTGTCAGCCATCAACGTAGACAAGATATGTGTTATACCGGAACGAACCTATTCTATGGTAAATAGATTCTCCTACAGATAAGTAGTAGTAGTAGCAGTCGCCAGTTGAGCTCAGTGGAGTTGAGTGAGTCAGTCGATGTCGGACATTTAAAGTATCAACCACTACAACTAGATTGCTGCGTCATTAACTATTATTTCAAGTTCCTAACGTTTTGAACGTCGGAACCTTTTCGGACCGACTTAGCGAAATACAAGCCTCCACTGTGAAAACTACAACATGTCATCTGCATATTGTAGAAACACTGTTATTATTATAAATATATTATCGCAAATGTAACAAAATAATGAACAACAAAAGAACAATAATATTCAAGACAGGAGTGTTTGCATATCAATAGAAATTTTTATATAACAAAAGAACGTTGAGTAAGGACATAAAAGCAACCAAACTCATTTAAGGAAACGTTACAAGGAGACATGTTTAATAGGTTTGCTAAAGAAGTACTCGAAAACTGATTTCTCACCAGCAATTTTTATTGATAAATGTAGAGTTACCAGTTGGTTGTGTTAGAATTTGTGCTATTCATGTAAATACTCAAGTAAAACGATTTAGAAGAAAATAGGGTGTAGACTGAATTATTTTTATGGCTTGTATTCTTGACAGTAAAATGATAGGCTGGTGATGATGGCATCAAGATAAATGCTGAGATCCTTGGACAAGATGTTTGTTTGAGTGGTTGGGGTCAGAACTAAGATGCTTTAAGCTAAACCGTATATTTACCAAGACATTTTCACATTTTGCAAAGCTTAACTACTGCCCACCTTGCCATTCAAAGATGCCAAATTAATATCATAGCCGCAAGCCTCTTTAGATAATAATCAAAAAGAAAATGTTTGGTATATCAATAAAAGATATATATATATATCAGAAGGAAGAACAATGCCCTAACAAAATATTTGGGAGGCAATAAAAATTGTTCAAGTAATGTTATCATATGAAAGAAGTAGAAAAATTATCAAAATGTTTGGAGAACTGATAAAGGTTTTAAAAGGTCAAAGAGCCCATATTGTACAATAATTAAAAATTGTTCAGGTGTATTAGTTATTGCCGTAAAAATATTTTTCCTGATCCATATCGGTGGATTTATTTAAAAATAAGACATTATAAGGCACTTATAATTGCAAGAAAAATATCTTCTCCAAGCAAGTCATTATAAATATTGCTGATGGACAGAGAATTGCTGAAATTAACAATAAAACTTTATATAATTTACCATACAAGTATATCATTAAATTCCACAAGATCTGTTGTTTAATAGAACTTATCGAGAAAACAATGTTTTATATAATAATCAAACAGAATCTAGATATAAACAGTAAGGTAGATGTGAAGACACTTATAGATAGATAGATAGATATGAAATAACAGACTGATATAACATACATAGATATAGTTAAAATGAAATAGACAGGCAAATATATATATATATATATATATATATATATATATATATATATATATATATATATAGATAGATAGATAGATAGATAGATAGATATGAACGAACAGACTGAACTGACTTTTTGAAAACATAGATATAGGAAGACTGAAATAAATAGATAGTCTGAAAGATATCAAAACAGATATGAATTGAATGAGATAGATAGATAGATAGATAGATAGATAGGTATGAACAGCGATAGATAGATCGTTCATATCTTAGATAGATATATAAGGAAATAATAATATAAATATATATATATATATATTGAATAAGATAGATAGATAGATAGATAGATAGATAGATAGATAGATAGATATGAACGGACTGCACTAGATAGATAGATAGATAGATAGATAGATAGATATGAAGATAGATGAGATAGATATGAACAGAATGAGATAGATAGATATGAACGGATAGACTAGATAGATAGATAGATAGATAGATAGATAGATAGATAGATAGATAGATATGAACAGAATGAGATAGATATGAACGGACTGAACTAGATAGATAGATAGATAGATAGATAGATAGATAGATAGATAGATAGATAGATATGAAAAGAATCAGATAGGTATGATCGGACTGAACTAGATAGATAGATAGATAGATAGATAGATAGATAGATAGAGATAGTCCTCTTAAAATGCATAAATACGTTTTTAATAATAATTATATTTGCTGCGTGAAAGTTAATTAAATTTTGTCATGATAAAGAAGACATTTGACAATAAACATCAAGGAAGTCATTTAATTCTCTTTGACTTCTAAAATATCCGTCTGTCATCGTTTATCTTCTTATAACACCAGGCCATTTATTTGTCCTCGAATATTTGGAAAACTTAAAATAAAGACTTATTTTAAGACAATTATCTAATGTTTTTGTTTTGTAATGTTTAAAATAAAGTGTATTCATTATGATGATATTAATTTCTATATAATAACATTTGATTCTGGCAAAAAAACAATATATGTATACACGGGGTGGAGGGGTGTTGAAAACTTTTCAGCCCGACCAAAAAGTAACTATAAGAAAATCCTCATACTTTGTTATGTTTGGGAAGTGGTCTGGCTGAGAAAACCTCAGTAATCTCACATGTATTTTTGGATACTTCGTTTATCTATCTATCTATCTATCTATCTATCTATCTATCTATCTCTCTCTCTCTCTCTCTCTCTCTCTATATATATATATATATATATATATATATATATATATATATATATATATATATATATCGTTTTGTTCTAATCTATCTATCTATGTAAATAATATATATCTATCTATACATGAATAATGCATCTTTCATCATTGAGGATCATATATTGATGTGTGCAGAAGCAAGAAGTAACAAATAAATTACTATACACATAAAAATCACAGTTTAAATGGCGTCACTCACTCCAGAGACATGGAATTGGTTCCAACAAGCGTGAGAATTTCGGAAATATCCACCCCATCAAAAATCTGACCATAGCTCTATTAGAACCCATTTAAACACACACACAAACTTACCAGACTCCATCCAAAACATACTATACTATGTATATATGCATATGCATGTTTCATTAAAAATGACAGACACGGTATTATGATTAAGCTTATTTAATTTTTTGTGTTTGAATAAGTGCTTTCTTTTTTGAACCCAGAGTGTGTAGAAACTGTCCAAATGTTCTATAATTCCAATGTTCTCATAGAATATAATAACACTTTTATCACCTCATTATATAAAAAGCCTACTAGCAGAAGCTCATGTCACCTTAACTTTAAAAAAGAAAAAGGCCCACTCATATACAAAATATCAGTAATAAAAATCTTTCTAAAAAAAGAACACACCAGAATTCATCCTCTCAACTACTCTTCCTTAAAGAACTCAATAATGTAAAACAAACACTAATTAACAATGATTTCCCTAACCACTTTATAGACCACCAAATTAGACTATTTCTCCCCAAAGTAAATAACAATGATAGTGAACATACAGTCAAAAATTACATAAATATTTTCTACAAAAACCAAATGCACATTAACTACAAACAAGATGAATCTTTATTTTGAAATATTACAAAGAATACACTACCCCAATTGACCCAAATAAAAAAAAATCAAATTAATTTAAATTAAAATTTAAGACAGCTAACCTTATCCTCAAAAATAACAACACACCTGTTCTCTATATGTAAATAGGAAGACAGCCTTGAAGAAGAAGGACAACTCTGAATTCAAAACCTGTGGAGGGTCGCTTAGGGACCTTGTGGCACCAGGTCTCTGTATTCAGCCCTTTAAAAAGTGTGGTTGGTTGTGCACAAAGTCTTCACCACCCTAATCAAATCATGTGCTGGTACCTGGCTGTCGGTTTCTAGGAACTGAGCTGCTTGACCCTCATACGTCGAATACGACAGGAGAGTCCACCATTGTCTAGTCACACTGATGAGCTGTGATACAGCGAAACAGCCTGTCTGTGGATGACAATATATATGCTCCTGAAAAATTGATTTGGTTGAACTCTCTGGGAAGGAAGTGTGGCTTTGTAAACAGTGACTAGCCGTAAGGCTAATAATGCAAGACTCTTCGGTAAAACGAATCGAGTTCTCTCAGTTACTGTTTGTTTATCTAAAAAATAAATACACTTAAATCACCTACATCCCTGCCGTACCGTACACCAACGGCTTAGTAGTAGAATCCCCGACTGACGCCAATTCAGTCGAGTTTCGATCCTAGCTAGCGGCAACCGGACGTCTAGCCACACTGATGAGCTGTGATACAGCGAAACAGTCTGTCTGTGGATGACAGTATATATATATATATATATACTGTCTGTGGATGACAGTATATATATATATATATATATATATATATATATATATATATATATATATATATATATATATATATATATATATATATTTGGTTGGATTGGATTGATGTGATTTTTGTGACACTGGTTTTCAGGCTTTTGCGTTCGTCAGACTCACATCAATCCAACCAAATATGTTAGCTCTATCTCTGATATTGAGCGCTTTCTAATAAGTACCGCGCATATAATATATAAATAATAATATATATAATATATTACATATATCTATCTATCTATCTATCTATCTATATATATATATATATATATATATATATATATATATATATATTTATATACACACACTCCCCCCCCAACACACACACACATATATATATATATATATATTGAGACTTTTTAGGCGATACATTTATTAATTTCAAAGAATTACATAACTCTTCTCACCTTTAAGTGAGGATCATCTGACTTCAATCTACTTGAATGTGAAGACCCAATGGAAGCGATCCAATGTTAAGGTGTCCAGGACCTTTGCCACAGCATACTTTATTTCGGTCCTTATATTTCTCTTCAGCTTAAGAAACAACCAAAAGTCAAAGGTAGAAGATCTGAGATGTAGGGTGAATGAGGTGCAGTTTTGATGCATATCTGACAAAATAAAGCTTTCAAATTGTCTTCACGTCACGACTGCAGTTTCGCAAACTAGAGGTGTTTAGTCGGGTGAGTTTAAAAAGCTTTAACAGCAATCTCCTTCAATTTGGAATATCAAAAGAAAGCAAGTCAGCTTATTAGATATATTAAAATGACAACAATCTAGGACAGTTAAAACTGCCTGTCCTAAACAAAAAAAAAAAAAAATTCAAAATTTATGATAGAAAAATTGTCTAAATTACGCAAAATTGTCCAGATGTAAGGGATGATGTGGTCGCAGAAATTGTCTGACCGCCATGACTGGGTTCTCCTGCTTGTGTGGCATTATGCAGAGTCCTGTTGCCAGACATAAGGGTCTTCCAGTAGCCACCCCCATGACCCAGGCCAGCACAACCTCCCTAGCTATGGTCTTCATTGACTTGAGGAAGATCTCACCCACAAATGTCTTATCAGAACGAACAGTGTGAGTTTTTCGAGCTGACGTACTTTTGTGATCACCATTAGACTCATTCAAGTCTTTCTGAATCCTATTCACTCATACCCAAACAATCTGGAATGTTCGGATGCCAAGCTGTACAGCTTGCCATTTCCCAATTTCTGGGGGTGTGAATTGTGTCATGGAGGTCGTTTTCTCACAGACGGTGCCCAACTTACTCTAATATATTTTGCATATAAAATCAAATAGAAACAACATCCGCGAAATTAAAATATAAAATGGCGACAATTTACCCATACCACCCTATACATATATATATATATATATATATATATATATATATATATATATATATATATATATATAAGAAATATAGTTTTAACGTGTGCTGTATTTATGGGATAAAGTGCTCAGTATCAGAGACAGAGGTATGTAAATATAAATATAAAGGTGAACATTGAAGTCAACACACAGAGGCTGTTTCATGCTAGGCGCAACCGTCAGGCCGACTGATGATTGGTTTGACGATTGCGTCTAGCATGAAACATCCTGACGCCTCTGAGTGTTGACTTCAATGTTCATTTATATATATATATATATATATATATATATATATATATATATATATATATATATATACATTTTGTGCCGATTAATTTTATTGATCGACTTTTAAAAATTACCGATAATCCTTTTCAGATAAGGAGGAAATTCCGTCAGATATTTTGCAAAGTTCATTTCGGAAGAAATATTTTTTCAGCTTTCGACTTTTTTAAGTCATCATCAGTGAACGTAGAAAGAAATGGTGAGTTTTACAGAACTAGTGAGTGTTTTGAGGCAAGCAAAATGTGATGGGAGTGTGTGTTTTTAAAATCTTTTTTTTCATATGCATACCGTCCTTTTGATACTTCGTTTTTTTTTGGGGGGGGGGATTTGCTGGCATGACTGTCCATTTTTACTGATTATTCTATGTTTATAAACTCATGCCATGAGTTATCTGTGTTTGTTTCCCTGTACCACAAAGCTGCAGTAACCAGAATAATTTGGCTGATATTTACGCAAACAACCAAAAAGCAAAAACACATGCAGTACCTATTTTCGGGTTCCTCATGCCATCAAAAAACCCGTTTTCTTCTTTCTGACTGGCTAGGTGTTTACGCAAAAACTTATACTACAGTCCTTAATGACAAGAAAAAAAACACTTCGAAACGTACACTGGCAGACACAGACATTTCAATAAATTAATATTTTAGCACTTTTTTTTTTCATTCCTTTTGCTTGCCACGGTATTATATGTGCTTGTTTTGAATCTCTAAATAGGAAGGAGAAAATGGCGGAAAACCACTAACAGCAATGCCTGTAACGCGAACGATTCTCCTCGGTTGCCATGTTAGTAATAATAGCCTTATAGCTATGCAACACATTCTTATTTTGAGTGAATACTTTCATGCCTGAAAGGCATCAGTAAACAATATTTTTGAAGAATTATGAATCATATATACCTACAAGGTCGACGAGTAGGCACGTTCAACAAAACACTAGAGTGCATCAAAATTAGATTCATCTATTATAAAGCAGCGATAGATTGAATTTTCGGTGTTTTCAACTTATATTAGCAAAACAAAATTGATCGAATTGTTATGCAATAATTCTGCTACCAATATTATATATATATATATATATATATATATATATATATATATATATATATATATAGTGTGCAATTTTTATATTATATCA